CGATTCGCCGAGTCGGCGCCGTTCAGCAGCTCCGCGATGCCCAGACGGGGTGGGAACTCCTCCGGGCTGCCGTGGCCCGACCGCGGGAGCTCGCCGACGAGGGGCGCCCCCGTCCTGAAAAAACTCCACGCGACCCGGATCGCAGAAGGCAATCTGCTCCGCGATTTCCGCGCAGAGAGGTCCGTTGACGTGCTCAGCGACGCGGCGTATGGCGGGGCCCCCCCCCCGGAACCACGCCTCGACGGCACCACTGGCCCTGAGGACACGATCCTTTTCACGGAGCTTCGCGAGCGCGCGCTCGCGGAAGGCAAGCACGTCGGCTGTGGCTGTCTGCGCGGCCCACCTCACCGCCGCTGCGGCCGTGGGCGGCAAGGCCGAGGCAGCGGCGGGGCGCTACTTGCCCCAGAGCGCGGGGTCGCCGTCCAGCGCCCTGGCCAAGAAGGTGAGTTTCGCCGCGTCGCCGCCGCGGCTGCCGCGGGCTGCGACGCACACGTCGCGCCACATGCTGTCACTGCAACGCCGAGACCAATCGCGCACAAACTTCGGCCCAGGTGGCGCGGGCGGCGCCGGCATCGCCTGCAACGCGCAGCCGGCGCGCTTGCGACCGAGTGCCCACGGCGCGCGCCTTGCAAAAATTGCCGTGGGCACCCGCAGCCCCAGGCGCCTCCCGCTTCCGCGCTCTGGGAGCGGGCGGCGGCGGGGGCAGCGCCGGCGCGGCCGGCATCGCGCGCAGTGACGAATGCGAGCGAAAACAAAGCGCCGAGACGTCGCAGAGGCGCCCGCGGACCGTACTCTGCCCCGCGGAGCTTCGCAGCCCTCGCTGACTCGGCTGTCTCGGCCAGGCAAAACGTACGCGCATGCCCTGGCACGACCGCAAGCGGATCACTTTTCATCGCGATACGTAAGCGTGTATACGCGCCCAGATCACTGACCCCGACCCGGCGCGGGCGTCGGAAGGCACTGCGCGCAAGCCGTTCTGGCGGCTGAAAGACGCCGCCTCTGCGGGGCTCGCGCGCGCTTTCAAGGAGCTGCGCTTGGCGCTTACTTCGCCAGGCGCGGCGGCGTCTTCACCTGTCGCGGCCGCTCGTCCTTCCTCTGCCAATCGTTCCACGAGCGCTCGCGCTTCTGGCCCTTCGGCCAGGCGTGCCAGGAGCCGCTGCTCCAGCTCTGCCCGGCGCGCCACGACTGGCCGGCACCGCCGGTCCCACGCCCCTTCTCGGGGGCGCGGGCCGCTTGCGCCTGCGCGCACGGGCATCGCGGGACGAGATGGGAAAACGCGCAGCCAGGCGAAGCGACGCCCGCCGTCGCGTGGGCGACTCCCTCTTCCTTGTCTGAGGCGTCACGCGCCAATTCCAAGGCGCGCGAGTCGATCCTGAGGATCGTCTGCCCCAGATTGAAATCGGGATCGTTCGCGCGGAGCCGCTCGGCCCACAGCTGCGCCGCGCCAGCGCGCACGCGGGGCGTCCCCGCCGCAGCGCGCGGGGAAGTGGGTGCGCGCCTTGCGCGCTTCTTCGTCGTAAATCATGCCGAGGTGAACGCGGCGCTTAGAGGCGGAGGCCTGCGCGGAACGCGCGGCAAACAAGAAGCGACGAAATCGCGCGCGCCCAGCCTGTACTGCGATCTTCAGGCAATTGCTCCGATGCGCCACGGTTTCAGCCAGTGTGAGCTGTCCCGTCGCGACGAGTGCAAGCGCGAACCTGCCGCGCGCGGCGCGTGCGCAGCAGGGCGCGGAGGGGCCGCGACGCGAGGCATGGGGCACCGGTCCCACGCCAGCTGCCACTCGCAAACGGTCAGGAAGGGCTTCTTCTCGGGCCCTTCTTTACTGCCGCCACTTCCTTCGGGGCGATCGCCCGAGCGCGGGCGAGGCCTGAGCCGGCGACGCGCGCGGGGCGCCGCCTTGGCCAAGTCTCGAATGTCTTTCGAGACGCTGTCGGCTGCGTTGCCGTCTTCCTCGGGTTCGCGTGGGCCCGTGCGGGCCCACTCTGGCAACCATTTCCTGATGTCCGAGTAAACAAACACGCGAGCGTCATCCTCGTTCGCAACGTGCTTCTTGCGCTTGGCCACTTCCGCTCCCAGCGCGTCGAGCGCGTCGGAGTTGCAAGCGCGCTGCGGGGGGCCCCGTGGCCAGCGCGCATGCGCTGCGCGACCTCGCCTGGGCCAGAACTCCTGCGGGAGGTTGGCCAGGGGCGCCTTGCCGAGGAAAGGGCCCAGGAGTGCGCGGGCTGGCTTTTCCTGCGCGCGCGCCACGCGGCGCCCCGCAAGCACGAATGCGCAGCGAGGCCGCGCGGGCCTCGGTGGTGCCCGATTTCAACGCCGCCAGGAGGGCGGCCGCGTTGTCCGCCGCCGAGGGCGCAGGGGCAACAGACGGCGCAGCACCCGCGGCCGCCGGCGCCGGTGTGCTCGCCGCGGTGATCGCCGCGCGCACAAGGCGCTTTTGCGAAGCGTCCAGCGCCCCCTCCTCGAAGGAGAAGTCTTCGAAGGCCGCGCCGTCCAGGTCGGCGATGGTCGCCGCCCCCTGGCCGCGGAGCGCTGCCGCCGTGGCCTCGAGCCAGGCAGTCTCGTGGGCAGATGCCCCGTCCAGCGCGCCAAGAAAATTGCTAAGCACCTCGCTCATCGCGTGACAACGGCGCGTCGCGACCCGAACAAGCTGGAAGCACGAGCGCCGCCTGCAGCAAGCGCGGACGCGCCCGGGACAGGGACTACGCGGGGCCCCGAGCAGAGACCAACAAGGCCCGCGCACTGCCCAAGATGAAGACGGCGCCCCGCCCAAAACGAGAAGCCAGCGCCCAGCCAGAGCCGAGGCCCAGGAGCCAACCCGAGACGAGGTCAGCGCCCAAGGAGGACGGGGACCAGGGGCCAGCGCCCTACCCGAGACAGGGATCCAGAGGCCTGCGCCCCCCCCCTCGCGAACCTGGGTCCTGGGGCCTGCGCCCTGCCCGAGGCAGGGATCCAGGGGGTTGCGCCCTCCCCCTCACGAGCCTGGTTCCTGGGGCCTGCGCCCTGCCCGAGACAAGGATCCCAGGGGGCTGCGCCCGCCCCCTCGCGATATGGGTCCTGGGGCCTGCGCCCTACCCGAGACAGGGATGCAGGGGCCTGCGCCCTCCCCCTCACGCACTTGGGTCCTGGGGCCTGCTCCCTACCCGAGACAGGGATCCAGGGGCCTGCGCCCTCCCCCGCGCGAACCTGGGTCCTGGGGCCTGCGCCCTACCCGAGACAAGGATCCAGGGGCCTGCGCCCTCCCCCTCGCGAAACGTGGGCCCTGGGGCCGCGCCTTCCCCGAGACAGGGGGCCATGGGCCTGCGCCTCCTTCCACGCGACGCAGGGCCCTGGGGCCCGTGCCCCACCCGAGACAGGGGGCCAGGGGCCAGCGCCTACAAACACAAGAGAAGGCCCAGGGGCCAGCACTCGACCCAAGACGGAGACCTGCCCGCCCAGCGCGCGAGCGCGACTCCCCAGGGAGACGCAGAGACAAGAACATCCTGGCTTCGAGCCTGGCAAAACCGACGAGAGAGTCGGGGGATGGAACCACCCGCGCGAGTGGTTTCGCCTCCCGCACAATGAATCAAGCAAGTACCTGAACGCGAGAGGGAGGAGGGGGGGAGGAACCAGCGCAAGGGTGGCGCCAGGGTGGCGCCTTCCTAATGTACAATACGCCTGCGAAGCGAGCGCCGCAGGGGGCCAGCGCAGCCTTTCCCCGCGGCGCGCAGTGCCTGAGACAATGGTACCTGCGAAACGCGTGCGCCGCGGGGGTGCAGCGACGACCCCCCCCGCGGCGGCCCCTCCCTGGCGCGCGACGGCGCGATGACCCGCGCCTGCGCAACGGGGCCACGGTCGCGTCGCGCTGACGCGCGCGCGACCTACGCGCAAACGTGGCCGATTTGTGCCCGCGTACAACGGTGGGCCTCCGCGTCTACGAGCCTCGATTCACCGCTGTGCGCCTACGTAAGAACCGGCAAAATGACACCCCCCCTCAGGCAACTGCTGGCAGCACAGTTTTTCGTGACGGACAGCCCCCAAAGGGCGCAGATTCCCCCCTCCATCGTGGTCCACTGGGCCTCGGGTCTGCACTGGCCCTCCTCCTCTTCCTCCCTCCCTCCCCACGGACCTGGCATCGTTTGGACGTGTGCATCTTTTCTCGGCAAGGACCATCGAGGCGCATTTTGGGCCACCTCGAGGAAAAATACGCGCGCGAAACCGACGACTGCGCGGGGAAGGGGCGTCCGAGCGATGGCGAGCGGACGGGGCAGGCCCGTCGCCGCCCAGAGGGGGGGCCGAGGCCGCTGGGGGCACTGCTGTCGGCAGGCGCCACGGGGAGCTCGGGGGGGGTGGCGGGTGTCCCCCAGGGGCGGGATCTCGGGCCTCCGGGGGCCCGCCGCGTCGCTCGCGCACTCCACGGGGTTCCTTTCTCGGCGCCGCCTTGGCATGGTGATGCTATGCGTGCGCGCGCCGAGGGGCCCTGTAGCATGAGCTCCGTGGCGGGGGCTTTCCGGACACACCGCTCGGGAAACGACATGCCACAAAATGGTTATCCCATATGTTCGGGACGGACGCACGCCTCCGAGAAGGACACATCGTTCTAGGAGGAGGAGGAGGGGGAGGAAAAGGGAGATGAGGAGGAGGAGGAGGAGGAGGAGGAAGGAGGAGGAGGAGAGGAGGAGGAGGAGGAGGCGGAGGAGGAGGAGGAGGAGGAGGAGGAGGAGGAGGAGGGGTGAGGGGGGACGGGGAGGGGGAGGGGGCGGGGGAGGAGGAGGAGGAGGAGGGGTAGGAGGAGGAGGAGGAGGAGGAGGAGGAGGAGGAGGAGGAGGAGGAGGAGGAGGAGGAGGAGCGAGGAGGAGGAGGAGGAGGAGGAGGAGGAGGAGGAGGAGCTTCAGCCAGGGGCTTAATTCCATGGGGGCAGCGCGCTCCGATCGATCCCGATCAGTCTGAGACCATGCAGGCTGCCGATGTCGAGGCCGTCAAATCGATTCTTCCTTGTGAAGAGCACGCGTTCACATGCCGGGATGCGGCGCGCGCCCTCGCGTGCCCATCGGTCGCCGGAGAGGACGGACCAGCTGCCTCAGTGTTCCAAGCCGTTGTTTTTCGATGCGACAGTTGTGCGCGGAAGCTCCTGCCGAATCGCAGCGAGTGAGATTGCTGCGTTTTCCACGTGTCCGTCCGCGACGACCCCCTCGGCCGAGAGGAAAACGCCGCCGTTCTTAGATGGAGGGGTTGGTTCCATGAGAGGTCCTCCTCAGATGTCGTTGAGGCTCTCGCAGATCCCGACGTCGAGTGGTCGCCGCGGACCAGCGGCCCAACGGGCGAAAACCATTGGGTGGACTGGTCGGAAGCGCCGCTGATATCGCGACAAGTTCCCCCGGGCCATTCGTTCATGTGGCTACCCCCCCGACTCCGGCGCCGTCGAATGGCAACGGCGCTTTGACCGCGGGGTAATGCTGGCCGTGGTCTGACCCGCTGGGTCGTCGGAACTGGGGCCGCCCTTGATCTACGGCGACCAGGCGGAGGGCCGCTTCGGACATGGGTTGACTTCTCGGACCGAGGGCGCGACCAAGTACTGCGTCGACATCGCAGAGCAGCGTTTCCGAATTCGAATGCGGAGGTCCTGGCTGGCCGCGAAGCCGGGAGTCGCGTGGCCGCGAGGGCCGCAGGGGGCCACTCGCGCGAACTGCTTTGCCGTGAGTTGGGCCGTCGGTGGCTTCCGCCCAGGTCCGAGAACGGGGCGACCGCCCCCGCTCCTATAGGGCGGGGCGTCTTGAGTCTTTCTGCTGAGGGGGCGCTCGCCAGCGACGCCGCGACGTCGTGCGCCACCGCGACTTCCGAGACTGCTGGGGGGGGCGCCGGCAGGCGCCCGCCCCCCCGGCGGGGGAACTCGACAGGGGGTTGGGCCCAGTCAGCTGCCCATTGCCTCTGCCGCCCCGAAGCGCGCGGCGTTCGCAGCGCTCCCGCGGCGGCCTGCTCCGCCGATGGTGCCGATGCCGCTGCGCCGCCGAAGGCGCCGCCGCCGCCTCCTGTGTCGAGGATGACGTTCGACTTCCCGTGCCGGGATCGCAGGCGAGCGCGCGCTCTAACCGCGCCGCCGCGCCGTCTGACGACGCCGCCAATGCGCCCCGGGGGATCCCGGGGCGTGATCAGGCCATCTCAGTGGAACGCCAAGATATTGGAATGTGGCTCGGAACAGGCGTGTACGTGCTGACGCTGACTCCCAGCGCGGAGGCAATTTTTGCCACCGCGAGACGCGTGGCATCCACGGACCTGCAGGTGCGACTCCAGGGCGCGCTGGCTAATTCGCCCTCCCCTGGAAAATCAGTGGGATCAGTGCTTGTCTGTGTGCGTGCTATTTGCCTTTGGCGCAGCTTTCGAGTGTCTCGCGCGCGATGCTGCGTGGTCTTTGGGAATGATGTTTGAGGCGACGAGACGACCTTATTGTGGGCCCCAGGTATTTCAGAATAATGTTTATGTTTCCGATCGCAATACTTTGATATCTGAGTTGTCTAACCCAATCACATATAGGACTTTGCTGTGCTAGCACTGACAACATTATGTCGTCGGGCATGACAGTTTGCAGCGTCGAGAGCTAACGGAGAGATTCGGATGCCCTAGCTATTGTGTAATCATTGAACATTATTTTGACATCATTCGACTGTTACCGTGACAAGGAGTGAGTACTCCATCGCGCTGCTGTCGTCGCAAGTTGGAGGCGCGCATTTCGCGTGCCCCCCGACCCCTGGCGCACATCTTGTATTGCGACATGGAAGGCAGCGCGAGGCATGGAGCTACCCAGTCCAGCTGATCCGGCCGCTAACACATGGTCGATCTTCGAGACTGCCTATTCTTTGTGCTTGCGTATCAGTCCACGTAATTCGACTTGGCATCGGCTTTCCATCCGTCCGATTAGGGCCAGCCGAGCGGCGCGATGTCCCACGCACGCTTTCAACAGATTTTGCCCTGGGCCTGAATCCGCAGGGCGGTTGCAGTCAGGCTGGGACGGGGGCTTTTTCCCTTCGCCGCCGAACCCCGTCCCGTGCGTTTCGCTTTTGCGCTGCGCGGGTCGGGTTTCGGGGCGGAGGGTATAGGTGGCCCCCGTATCTTCCGTGCTCTTTCTTTTGCCGATGCTCCTTTTCGGCTCGCAGGTACTTGCGCGTGCCAGTAATGACGGACCAGTGGGGATGGGTGAAGCCTTCATCGTCGCCCTTCATTCGTTGCTTTCGCCTTCGCCAACAAATTATCGGGAGGGGTAGGCCCTTCAGTAAATATGCTCCTCTCCGCCTCATCTTATAGTTGCCTCTCCTGCTGCCTGCCTTGCCATACCTTGACATTACTGCAGCACTGTTCTGCAGCTGTTTGCTACTCAAGTTAGAAAACGAGCGCGCCAGCCTGCGGCCTGCGCACGTCGTCGGTCGTCGGCCGGCCGGACCTCCTCCCTTCCCATACTTGGGGTGCATTTGCTTAACGGATAACATATTGTTTCATCGATGTCTCGTCCCAAACCCCCTACCACTGAGTGTATTGATCGTGAGACCTTAATTCCTTTGGCATCTTACCCCGATTCTCAGAGGAAAGACTGCTCATCAGCCGAAGCCCGCGACCAAGTCGCTATGGGAAGGAGCTATGATGAGACAACCGAATTGCCCGCGATATTACACGATGTGCAGCGAGACGGGCAAGAACCACAGGACAGCGGCCCAGGGGAGGGCCGCTTTCTTCCCTCTTCTAATCTCAGTCGGTTTCCTCATAGAAGGTTGGCGGGGTTTTTAACACCTTCTATCATCGTCTTAGGTTGATTTGCTCGTCATATTGATCCTCCGGTTGTTCGATCGTGTCGTTCATAATCAGTCTTAATTTCCCTTCTTTCCTTATCTCGTGCTTCCACCATGCGTATGAGCTCTATGTACGTAGGTCGTATCCTCTTCTGGTTCAGGTTCATTCATCTTCCTCTTCATCGGGCTCTCTTGGTGTCGTCCGCTTGTCTCGGGTTGTTCCTGTTGCCTATATCGGTTCTATGTGGTTCGTTCCTCCTCCTACGTACTCCAATCCTCTCCTTCCTCCCTCCGCCTACCTACATCCGGTCGCCTCGCGGAGTCCTCAGCCATATTCCTTGCTCTTGCTCTCCACCTTCTCCTCCTCATCATCCCTCCTCCTCCATCCTCCCTCCTCCTCATCCTCCTCCTCCTCCTCATCCTATACCTCCTCCTCCTGTCCTCTTGATCCTCTCCCTTCCTCCTCCTCCTCGTTCCTCCTCCTCCTCCTCCTCTTCCTCCTCCTCCTTCTCGCTATGTTTCCTTTTTATGCATCTTCGCGCCAGCACGACCATGTTGAACATAAGATGAGCAAGCTCCAGAGGCTCGATTTTCTTGAGGGCACCCGCCCCACGACTGCTGGCCAGATGGCCGAGCTCTGTGCCCTGCCGCGCCATTGGCGGCGCTGGAGAAAGTAAACTCCGTTGCGTCGCATCGGAGACCAGAACGGGTGCGGCTCCTCGACGCGGTGGCCGCCTGGGCGCACCAGGGCAGCGCGCCCCCCCGGCAGCAGCGGCGCGGCGGGGCCGCCCACTGCGCCTCGCGCCCTGCCGCTGCCCGAGCTCGGCGCCTGCGGCCCACGCGGCCGGCCTCGTCCTGGAGGGGTCGCCCGCAGAGCCAGCGGCAGCGCAGCCAGCACGGCACAGCTCGAAGTTCAGAAGCGGGGCCACACAAGCGCTCGCGCACAGTCTTGCTTTTCTGAGATCGAGCGCGCCTGTCCTGGAGGCCTGGTCCACGTGTCAGGCCTGCGGCACCTAGGACCCCCGCGGGGCGCCCAGCGCGCACTGGGTGCGATGGCGGCGTCGTGGTCCGGCATCCTGACTTTGGCGGTGCTGCTGAGCGCAGGCCCGGCGGCATGGGGCGTTGCCAGGCTCATCCTTGCCCTCCCCTTGGTCCACCTCGTTCATCGAAGGAGGAAGCTACATAAACATAAATGTTCAGAGCTCCAGCGCCGATCCAAGGGATCCGAGCGGACCTCCGAAAGTTTATGATTATGCCGTTGCTTGTTTATCGGCCAAGGCGTCCAAATAAGGATCACCCCCAGATCGGAAGGGTCTTGGCGCCCCCCAGGTTTCCCGAGGCCCCCGTGCAGAAGATCTCCGCCCAACCTGGGTGGAGGAGGTGCAGCCCCAGACCCCACCCCGCAGCCGGAAGTTGATTGCAACCTTAAGAAGCAATTTGAAACACCCCGAGCCCCCCACCCCACCCTTCGCCAGAGGAATAGAAGAATTCATAACAATCCGGGTCCGGGGCGGAAGCGAAGCCCTCCGCAGGGACCCTCAAATCAAAATCTGTTGGCCATTCTCTGGCAGGAACAGCAGGAGGAAGAGGGGCGAGGATGAGAAAGTGGAAAGGGAAGGCTTACCTCATGTATCGAAGACGCCTACGGCGAATTACCGCCGCCCCTTGCCTTTTAGGATACGCCTGTGTGGCCAAACGTTTGGGCAAAGTTTGGCCACGCTATTGGACCATGCGTTCCCTCCTCCAGCCGTTGTGGAAGCCCTTCGAGGAGCACTTGCGGGAGGAAGAGGAGGATGAGGGGAGGGAGGGAAAAGCAGGAGGAAAAGTGAGGAGACCTCTTGGGAGCTTCTTGGGTAATTCTTGGGGCCTCCTGGGAGCTTCCTGGGGGCCGCTTGCAGGCCTCTTGGACCCCTTCTTGGGCGACTTGGGTGCCTTCTGGGGCTCCTTAGGGGCCTCTTTGGCCGTCTTACGGCGTTTCTAGCCCCTCTGACGCCGTTGGAAGCCGTCTTGGGGCCAGCTTAAAACGCTTCAGGGCCGTCTTGACGGCCATCTTGGGCGTTTTGCAAGTCTTTTGGGCCGTTTGGGGGCATGTGGGGAGCCGTCTTGGGAGCCTTTTGAGCCGTCCTGGGGCCATCTTAGAGGCCTCGTAGGCGATCTTGGGGCAATATTTGGGCCTATTTGGCCGTCTGGGGCCATCGGAATGCCGAAAAGGAGCAAAAGGCAAAATCATTCAAAAACGTAAGGAAATCAATGGTACTAGCCCCTTTGAGCTCTTCTGGAGTCCTTGGAGCCTTCGGTGGAGCTCCCTACGGGGGCACGAAACGTGTGATGGGTGTGCCAAAATTGTGGCGGGAACGCATGGAAACGGCGCCACTGAGGCCTTAGGTGGGGGTCCTTATGGGGCCACGAACCGTGTGTGAGGGGTGTGCCGAAATGGGTGGCGGGGACGCATGGGAACGTCGCACATGGGGCCTTAGGTGGAGCTCCGTATGGGGGCACGAAACGTGTGAGGGTTGTGCCAAACTTGGTGGCGGGAACGCATGGGAACGTCGCCACTGGGGCCTTCGGGTGAGCTCCCTATGGAGCCACGAACCGTGTGAGGGGTGCGCCAAAATTTGCGGCGGGAACGCATGGGAACGGCGCCACTGGAGCTTTAAGTGTAGCTCCCTATGGGACCACGAACAGTGTCAGGGGTGTGCCGACATGGGTGGCGGGGACGCATGGAAACGTCGCCATTGGAGCCTTCGGTGGAGCTCCCTATGGAGCCGCGAATCGTGCGAAGGGTGTGCCAAAAAATGGGCGGCTGGGACGCATGGGAACTTCGCCATTGGAGCCTTAGGTGGAGCTCCCGATGGGGTCATGAAACGTGAGAGTGGTGTGCCAACTTGGGCTTGGGGGACGCATGCGGGCGGTCCCACTGGGGGCTTCGGTGGAGCTCCCTATGGGACCACGAAACGTGTGATGGGTGTGCCAAAATGGGCGGCGGGGACGCGTGGGAACGTAGCCATTGGAGCCGTAGGTGGAGCCCCCGATGGGGCCACGAACCGTGTGAGGGGTGCGCCAAAATGGGTGGCGGGGACGCATGGGAATGTCGCCATTGGGGCCTCAGGTGGAGCTCCCGATGGGACCACGAAACTTGTGAAGGGTGTGCCAAAATGGGTGGTGATGACGGCCAGGATGTTGATGATGGTGATGGGAGGAGGCAAGAGGTCAGGAAGGGAGGAAGACTATGTCTCGTCGAAACGAGGACTCGACACCATAGGATGGCTGGGAAACCATACACCGAAAACCAGTACCAAGAACAGGCACGAAGATCAGACACGCAGACCACAACCATCAAGACAAAACAGCGCAGTGCCTCAACAGCACACATCAATAAAAGACACCAGCAGCAGGCAAACCTAATACGGCCATGAACATGCACCAGTATTACACAACCGTAACAAGCACCTGTATCATCAATACACCCCGAGCGCGCAGCAAGCACACACATGGCGCCCAAGTACCAAGACCATATTTCAAAAACGGGCATCTTGGGCGGAGCAAGAATCGACATTCCATTCTTACGGGCACACATACATAAGTTGCATCATGGACACCGTATACGTCTCAGCAGGGCTATACACCAAGCAGCAGGAACACTCAAAACGATGCATCCATTTCAGACACCCCATACCATAGGCCGACATCCTACAACAGCTGCCTAATACATATGGCCTGCAACAGGCACAAGTACGAATAGTGCATCTCAACAGCAGGCATCGAAGATCTGTACCAATAACATGAATCACGACCCTAAGTCAATATGCTGAGCCACGCGTGCGCACCAATCAGATGCATAAAGAACATGCGCTCGTGACGTATAACGGGAACGCACACCAATCGCACAAATTTGGAAACAGCACACATCAGCAGCATGCACCAATATTGCACAGAATGTCAAAACAAGCTTCAACCAATAGCAATGACAAACAACAGCCGGATGACGTACATACATACAGGCATTTTCTCATGCAACTAACGAGCGCCTTTTTTACATGAAGCAACCGACCTACGCGCATACCAAGTACATCGAAAAAGTTCACCGAATATGCATCAGTAGTTTATAAAAGATCACACTCTAGAGTCACGCGCGATGGACTTCGAAGCCGTGCGCGGCAGCTCTCTGGTGGGATGGCCCAAACGAAAGTTATGTTGTTGTTATACGCTAGCGGTATCGCCGGAGGGCTCCGCTGAAAAGAATTAGTTGTTTCATATTTCGTGCTAGCGATCTCGCCATGGGGTGACGGATTGCTTCCCAGGGTTACATACTCGTCTTCTTCCGCCTCCTCGTTTCATTCGGCATCCTTCCTCGTGCGCTCCCGCAGCGGCCCCAGCGCCCTCCCCAGGCCCGGCGGCGTGGGGCGTCGCCGCGCTCGTCCGGTCCCGGCGCGGGCTGGGCGAGAAGCGGAGTGACCAGAGGCCCGATGGAGGCGAGGGGGCCAGGCTGGCGGCAGCAATGAAATCTCAGAGGCTGCTAAGAGTGCCCTTGGCCCAAGGTGCCCCCAGGGCCAGTTTAGGGCCTCTGGGTTCCTCTGGGCCTCGTGAGAGGTCCTCTGGCCCGGCCTCGTGAGGCGGCCTCCTTGGAAATCCTGGGGGCACCTTGGGCCAGTGCACTACCAGCAACACCCGAAAATTCGGGCAAGAGAAACTCGGCCATGCTGAACTCGGACAGCTGCATTCGGCCAGGCTGAACTCGGCCGGCTGATCATTGGCCAGGCCGAACTCGGCCGAACTGAACACGATAACACACATCTACGTGAACCTAGCACTTGGCTAGCACACCCTGGGCATTTGTTTCTTAAGCACCGAGGGAGATGGGGGCGAGGGAGGGGCCCTCCCGTCCACGACGTCGTGTGCCAGGGCAATGTAAGCCCGCCCGCTTCACAGGAAGTGTGTGGAGTGTTGCTCTTGGGGGGCGAGTCCTTCCAAGGAGCCCAGCGCCGTCTCGCAGGGCTGCTCCCCCGACCCGGTCCCCACATGTTCGCCTCGAGGGCGACGGGATCTATACAACCGCCGCTCGCCCGCCAAGCCAAGCTAGGGGCCGTACACACCGTTCTTGGGCCCTGGGTGTGCTTGACCAGCGGCGATAGATGTATGCACAGATCCCGCCGCTTGACAGGGGCGAGATGAGCGGCACCGCGTACCTGCTCTGCCTGCTGGGGTACGCGATCGGTATTGGGAATCTCTGGCGCTTCCCGTTCCTCGTCGGCAGGTGGGGGGGCGGCGCGTTCGTTCTGGCGTACCTTGCGTGCCTCTGTCTGGTGTCGATCCCCGCATACCTGATTGAGATGGTGATGGGCCAATATCAGGATGTTTACGGCAAGTCCCGCCGCCATACCAGCGCAGCATCAAAGAGCACGCAGGATGGTTCTGCCAAGCTCTCCCGAGCAGTCTCGGCAGAACCTTGCGGGTTCCCACGCGATAGAACCAGAGTTCTGCGGGGCCCCCAGGGGTTCCTGGATTTCCCTCGGCCGTCATGGGCGCGATGGTTACACCGAACTTGCTCGAAGAGGCCCAATCCGTAGCAGCACTTTGGGGGCTATCTGAGCGGATCTCGGGACAGTCTTGGTCCTCGGGTCGTTTAGGCTGGGTTTCGGGAGAACAAAAGTAATGGAAGCGATACAGAACACTGAACACATAAATGCCTTTTCAATGGTTTGTGCCTTGGTGGGGCCTGTCTGGCGTCTCCAGGCCATCTTGGGCTGGTATTGGGGTATGTTGCAGCTTTCTTGGGGAGGCTGTATGCTTTCTTGGGGCCGTGAATCGCGAAAAGGTGTAGGTGACGGTTTCAAACATGGATGTTGCGAGGAGAGGCGCCACCCGTAAATTTTCACTTCAACCCCACTTGTCAGCTCATAGGCACTCAAACAAGCCTGAACGTGTAGTTGGCACGGTGGCGGATACCCGCAAGAGTACCATCGAGTGTTTCAGGATGATTCACCCAAGATGGGTTGGCCTAGGGTACGGGCAGGCGATCATGCTTTTCCTCGCCCTCTCGTACTACAACACCTTGTTGGCCTATTCGCTGATCTACGTTGCTGGATCCTTGTTTCACCCACTCCCATGGGCAGAGCATTCGGCGAGCTATTGGAATGACGAAGTTCTCAATAGCTACGACGGGGACTACGATGGCGTGGGCCTCGGACCCGTCCAGTGGAAGATTGCAGTAGCATTGTTAGTGGTATGGATAGTAGTGTATTTGTCACTTGCTTTTGGCAAAGACATTTTGACCAAGGTGACCTGGGTCACTGTAGTGGGTCCGGTCGTCATGCTGCTGATTCTTCTGGCGCGCGCATTGACGTTGGACGGCGCGAGCGACGGCATTGAATTCTATCGTGCAGGAGTGCGCCATTCCCCCGACTCCCAGGTGCAGTTTGGCAAGCTCGTCTTACCCCCTCTCGCCTTCCCTCCGCATCCAAATTGGTCGATCCCTGGAGGGGGGGCGACATCACTTGGGACAGAACTGGCCAGACCTCTCACACGCGCTCTCATCCCCCAGCAAGCGGGGCCCGAGGACATTGGAAAGTTCGACGCCGATGTTTTGGTTGACTTGAAGATGTGGTCTGCAGCGTGCGGTCAGATTCTCTTCTCCCTGAGCCCTGGCTTCGGGACCGCCATCACGATGTCTAGCTATACGCACCCCAAAGAGAATGTGTTCAGGACTTGCATGGTAGTGGCGCTCTCAAACTCGGCATTCAGCTTAGTCGGTGGTTTCGCGATTTTCTCGATCGTTGGTAACATCACGTACCGCATCAACGCGGCTGGAGGAGTCCTTGACGAGGCTACCGGCCAGTTTGTTAGCACGACCGTGGCGGAGCAGGCGAAAGCGGGCCCTGGCCTTGCTTTCATTGCGCTGGCTGATGGTATGAGGTCGTTCGGTTCTGGCACGAATGTCATGTCTGTCCTCTTCTTCATGGTGTTGTTTACGCTGGGGCTCGATTCAACGTTCGCTTGGGCTGAAACGTTCGTTTCATACGTGGAGGACCGCATTGCATCCTCTAAGGTGTCTTCCAAGCCAAAGCGCTGCACGGTAGTCGGGTGCGTTTGCGCAGTGTTTTATTTGGTCGGCTTGTTATATTGCACCCGCATGGGGAACGAGCTTCTCGACACTGTGGATCACTATGCCGCCTCATATTTTCTCTTGTTTGGCGTGGCTGCAGAGGCAGTCATGTTCACGTTTGATTTCAGGTGGGAGCGCCTGGTCGCGCACGTGAAGGTGTCCACCATGGGGAACCCCCGCACCCCAAACGGCCAGGACGTGGTCGGCTCCTTGTTCTGGAGGACAGTAATCCCCACGACATTGCCAGCATTGAGCATTCTTTTGTTCGCGTACACATTGCGTGACGATTTATCAGCCGCATACGGCGGCTACCCCAATTGGATGCTTGGCATCGGCTGGTTCATATTGGCTTCCCTCATCCTCGTGACGATCCTGGTAGGCCTGTGGCAGTGGAGGACTCGGATAGACAAGAGGGCGGTAGACATGAGAGTCACTTGGCGGCATTCCGCAGAATCGGAACGAGGGCCTGGAAGCAGTTCACAGCAACCAGAAGCAAGCAACAACAGCAACAGCGCCCGTCTAAGCAAAGCTCCCGCGACGCGAGGCGAGGACGAAATGCGAGGAGGAGGAGGAGGAGGAGGAGCAAAGGCTTGTGCTGACCCTGAGATCCGACGTCGCGAAAAAATGCCGCCTCGCGAAAAATCCCGACCAGACCCGCAGACCCAATCTTTCTGCAGCATCCTTCGAGCCAGCTCGATCTGTGATGGCCCCCGGGCGCCGAGCCCGGCAGGCAACGCCCGCTGTGAAAACGGGACCTCGAGGGCACGAGCCTGAGGACCCAGGGCGCCGGCGGCCTGCCGCCGCTGCTGCACGCCGAGCTGGCACACCGCGGCGACGGCGCCGCCGGAGCGGACGCCTCGGGCGCTGGCGCAGCCACGGAGCTCGCGTGGCCCGCCTTGGACGCGGACGCCGGCGCGACCGAAAGACGTCGCGGCTCGGTCGACGGCGCGGCGCCGTCCCGCCTTGTCGACGAGCGCTGGGGGGGTCCGGAGGGGGAGCGAGGTGCCCAGGCATCAAGCGCGTTGAGAAAACAAGACGGAGGTTTCTCGCCGTTTTCGGCCTCTGGGGGCCCTCGCTGGGCCCCAGGACCGCCCAGAAACGGCTCACGGGCGAGAAGCCGGCCACCGGGAGCGGGATCGCGGGTACTCCGCATGGAAAAAATCAAGCATGGGGTCTTTGGGTGCCACCTTGCCCTCCTCCCGCCAGGCCTGGGCTACCCCGTCCCTCGAGGCTGCTTGCAGAAGCTAGGCTGGGGGATGCGGTTGCCGCCCTCGCCCTCTTCGACCCTTTCCTTTTTTTCGTCCGCCTTCCCTTGTTTTTGCCGCCTTTTCTCTCCCCCCTCCGTCTCCACAACTATTTTAGAACTACTAGATATGGATACGAGTGTCATGTCTCCCGGGATCCTGCCCGAGCGGCATTGTTTCCAGTTGTTGGAAGTATGGGAGTTCAAAAGGTGCGTGTTCATCAGAGTGAGGGGGCCGAACGGTCATTCACTGTCCCTGGGTGCGTAAGTGGGGATCCACGGCGAGGATTCTGCTTGTTCTGTTGCGTCGTGCCCCCGCGCGACCCACCCGCGACCCATCCCGCGACCCACCCGCGACCCACCCCGCGACCCACCCGCGACCCACCCCGCGACCCACCCGCGACCCACCCCACGACCCGTTCGCGACCCATTTGCGACCCGGCCCGCGGCCCACCCGCGACCCACCGTCGACCCGCTTGCGACCCACCTGCGACCCAACCCGCGACCCACCCACATTGTTCTACCAACAAAATCGGCGCATGCGGCGTGCTCGTTGTATTGCTTGAAGAATTATGCGCCTGCGGCGGGCTTCTTCTGAGCCTCGCAGACTGCCGACGTCCCCGCCGCCCCCTCACTCTTATCCACATCTGCGGGGTGCTGCGTATTGTTGTTTTTGTCCCACGAGACCGTTCCAAAAATTCGACATGGTGTTCCCGCTGCAGCGTTGGCCTCGTTTGGGCAATAAAGTTTTGTTCCCGTTGTTCTAAATGGCGCTCTCGCCCCAGCGTAGGCCACAATTCTGAATTCGAATCCTTCCTTGTCCTTGTCGCCCCGCTCCTTTCTCCTCCTCATCATCATCATCAGCAGCAGCATCATCATCATCATCCGCCTTCTCCTGATTATCCTGCTTGTCCCGCTCGTCGTACTCCTGGTCCTTGCTGCTGTTCCTCCTTGACCTCCCCATTCCTCGTCCCCATCCTCTTGCCCATCCGCCACCACCTCCTCTTCCACTGTACACAGCTCCACGAGAAGATGGGATCTCTGTGGGGGTTCCAGGTGCGCCCTGACACCCGCCGGCGGATAGAAACAATCAGCGCAATGGCAAGGGATGAGTGGTAGTGGTAGGATGTCGGAGAGGCAATAGCGCATCTAGATTGATATAGGTACTACTATCCTCTTTCCCTAGATCCTATCCAAGTGGAGCAGTGTTTATTCCGTATGCTGTTGTTTAGCGTGTTGGTGTCAAATGGTGTTTGTGATTGACACGTTGTTGTTGTGCACATCAAAACATAGCTCAATCATAACATGTCTGGGATTTCTAAGTTGCGCTCCCGCTGCTGCGTTGTTCTCATTTTGGATCGACGCAGGGCTCCTCGCGTTCAGAATGGCGCTTTCGCCAAGCACGAGCCTCAATTCTGGATCCGGGTCCGTTCTCGTCGTTGTCGCCTTATTCCTTGTCCCTCTTCCGCCTTCCCCTGGTCCTACGGCTGATCCCGCTATTCGTATTCCTGCCCCCGTTGATGTTGTTCCTCCTCGTCATCCTCCTTCCACGTCCTCATCCGTTTCCTCCTGCTCATCTTCTTTCTCATCCGCCACCTCCTCTTCATGTCCCCCAAGGTACACAGCTCCCAGGTTCTGATTGCGCATGGCACCATGGGGTCCCTTTGGGGATTCCAGAAGCGCCATGACACCCGCCGACGGATAGAAGAACAATCAGCGAAGTGGAAAGTGATGGGTGGGAGGGGTAGGACGTCCGATACGGAAAAAGATCGCCTAGCTTGGTATGAGTGCTACTATCCGATGTTCCCAGATCCTGTTCGAGCTGGGCAGGTGTTCCTCGGTATGTCGTTCTGCAGCTTGCCAGGTTTGAGAAGAAGGTCGTCGTATTGAAAAGGTGGCTTCTTTTTGCCACAGACAGACCAGAATCATAACATGTTCGGGATGCCCAAATTGCGCTCCCGCTGCTGTGTGGTCCTCATCCTAGGATCGCCGCTATGCTCCTTTCGTCGTTCAGAGTGGCGCTCTCGCCCCGGCGGAGGCCTCAATGTTGGATCCGAGTCTTTTCTCGTCGTTGTCGCCCTGCTCCTGCCGCCTCCTCTGCGACCTTCCCATGGTCATCCTGGTCCTCCCGCTCATCGCACTCCTGCTCCTGCGACTGATGCTCCTCCTCATCATCCTCGCGTCTAATCTTCATACTATTGGTTTTCGTCTTCCTGCCCATCCTCTTGCCCGCCACCACCTCCTCCTTGTATCATGTACACAGCCCCGAGTTTCTGATTGCGCATGGCACGATGGGGTATTTTGGGGGGCTCCAGGTGCACCATGACACCGATCGACGGATAGAGGAACAATCAGAGCAGCGGAAAGGGATGGGTGGGAGGGGTAGGATGTCCGATACGGCAAAAGCGCACGTAGTTTGTTATGAGTGATAGTAGCATATGTTATCAGGTCCTGCCCGAGCGGGAAGATGTTCTTCCGTATATCTTCCTTTAGCTTGCTGGATTTGAGTAGGTGGTTGTCGTATTGAAAAAGTTGCGACGTGTTGTTACAGACAAGCCAGAAGCATAACATGTTCGGAATTTCGAAATTGCGCTCTCGCTGCTGCGTTGTTCTTATTACGCGATCGCCGCTCTGCCCCTGGCGTTCAGAATGGCTCTCTCGCCAAGGGCGGCCACAATTCTGGATCCGAGTCTTTCCTCGTCGTTGTCGCCCTGCTCCTTTCTCCTCTGCCGCCGTCCCATGGTTCTCCCTCCCGCCCTTCGTATCCCTGATCCTGCTGCTACTCTTCCGCCTCGGCATCCTCTTTCCTCGTCCTCACCCGCTCCTTCCTGCTCATCCTCTTTCTCATCCGCCGCCTCTTTGTCTTGTCTCCCAAGGTACACAGTTCCCAGTCTCTGATTGCGCATGGCACGATGGGGTCCGCTTGGGGGCTCCGAGTGGGCCATGACAATTGTCGACGAATAGAGGGACAAACAGCGCAATGGGAAGAGATGGATCAGAGGGGCAGGATGTTAGATATGGCGCGAGCGCACCGAGCTTGATACGAATACTACCCTCCTGTACGACCAGATCTTGTTCGATCTGGGCAGTTGCTCTCCCGCAGATCGGTTTAACGTAGAGAATGTCAAAAGCTGGTTGCCCAAATGTCTTGTTTCAATCGGAACGTTTTGGGATGCCAACATTGTGTTCACGTTCCTGCGTTGTCCTCATCCCAGGATCGCTGATATGCTCCTGTCGTTCAGAGCGGCACTCTCGCCCCAGCGCGGGCCTCAATTCTGGATCCGAGTCATTCCTCGTCGGTGTAGCTCCACTCATTTCCCCTCATCCGCTTTCCCATGGTCATCCTGCTCCTCCCGCTCCTCCCGCTCCTCCTGTTCATGCTCGTGGTGCATTGTTGTTCATCCGCCCTCCCCCGTTATCATCATAACATTATTGCGCGTTCCTTGTTTATCCGTCAACCCCCTCCTCCACCAATGTACATAGCTTCCCCTTTTCTGATTGCACATAGCACGATAGGGTCCTTCGGAGGTTTCCAGGGCATCTGACACCCGTCGGCGGCGAGTGAAAATCAGCGCAATGGAAAGGGATGAATGCGTGGGGTAGGATGTCAGATATGGCGCGAGCGCGCCGAGCTTGTCCGCATCCCCCTCCTTGTCCTTCCTGCTCTTCCTTCAGAACCTGGGAAAACGGTTTAGAAACTCCAGTTCTTGTTCCTCTTCGTCCTCCCCCAGTTCCTCCCTCTGCCTCCGTGTCAATAGCCCAGAGATGGGGGATGAGAAGAAGGAGGAGGGTATGCTATCATGGTTTCAATCGGTTTCTGGTGATTCGGGTGGTCTCCAAATTCTTGCGGTGAGTTTTCGAGCTCTCCGGAGGGGTATCAGAGCTTCATTGTGTTATCGAAAGTTCATCAGCCAAGGATGAGTTTCCGTCTGATTCCATTGCCGCATTTTCGCCTTACGGGAGGAGGTCGAAGAGGACGGAGGAAGGCGGAGAGGAGGACGAGGTAGGAGGAGGAGGAGGAGGAGGAGGAGGAGGAGGACTGGTGGAGGAATACGAGGAGGAGGAGGAGGAGGAGGAGGAGCAAGAGCCAAATTGAGCACCACAGCTGGGGGGAGGGCCGCCCCCCGCCCCCCGATGGCACGGCCAGCCAAGGACGAGTCCGAGTCCGACTCCTCGACGGCGTCATCGTCATCCTCGTAGCCCGCGTCGAGTGGATTTTCAATCGGGCATCCTCGGATGGTTCAGGAGGGAACAAATCACACAGACACAAATGATCGTCGATTCCCAGTAACATGTGGAAATCGTGGGAAGCGGAGGGGAAGACGAACATTCAGAAAATATGGAAAATGTGTGTCTATGTAAGTGCGTATGCATTGCGGCTTCATTAGCAATTGTGTGCCTTGCAGTTGCTCCATCGGCCAGCGCAGTCACTGTGCCTAGCCGCCGACGCAGAAAGTGTGTGTGTGTGTGTGTCCCTGGGCCCCTTTATTTTGGTGCGCAGCGGCTGCCCCAGACACGGCGAGCCCCGAAGTCGCCCTTGGCGGTTGCCGCAGGTTGTTGCGGCGGAGCGCGGCGGTGGAGGCCAGCGTGCGGATGCAGGCGGCGATCGTGGTGGCGCAGGCCCGCCGCCGTGTCAGGAGAGCAGGTGGTCATGGTACGGTCGGGAGTTTGTGGCTTAGCGTGTCGTGCCGCCGGTTTTGGCCCACCACCAGCGCGGCACGTTATCCATTTCCAGGTCCGCGTCAACTCCCCGAGCGTTTCCCAGTCTCCCGCCCCGCGGAGCGGAGCGACGCGCTCTCAGCTTGCATGGCACATCCTGTCGCCGGGGCCGCAGCCGCGACACTGAGCAGAAGTCTCCGACCGCAGGGATGTTCTGCAGGATCTGCGCCAGGATGCCCAGGATCTGCCGCTGCCCCTCGTAGGGGCGGCGGCCGCAGCGCAGCCGCGGCAGCCCCGTGCCCCGTTCCTGGCGGCCGCTGGCGCCTCCTCGGAGGGCGGGCCCTCGCGGCGGGCGGGGCACCGAGCCAAGGGCTTCGCCTGCTGCGCGCTCCAGCGGGGCGGAAGCTCACAGAGGACAGCGCGCGCTTTCCGCGGCTGCGCGCTAATGGATCGCGTCCAGGTCGAAGGAGGAGTGAGGGGATGGTGGTTTTGAGAGGGGGGGTATGAGAAGGAGAGAGAGAGAGAGGAGGGCAAGGTGGAGCCAGCGGAGTAGGATGATGAGAAGGGGGAGGGAGAGGAGGAGGGGAGGAGGAAGAGGAGGAGGCGGAGGAGGAGGAGGTCGACACACCAACACCCGCATCAAATGTTTGAGTTCACATTGCAGACGAACTCTAAGTCCATTGGAAGCGTGCCATCACAACCGTGATGGGTAACTTGGACAAGTTCGACTCGTTGTAAGCCGCATCCAGGTATGTATAAGACGAGTTGCACTGCATATGTGGACCAAGCCATACAAAATGTATTGTGAAGACCTTACGGCCAGTGCCGCACGACGCTGAGATGGACCAGAGTCCTGAGGGATGCTTCTTGGGGTCTCTTCGGAAGGCTAATGGGGGCATCTGGAGAGGAATTGTTGTGTCCTCTTAGGACCCTCTTGGGGGCCTCTTGGGAGCCTCCTGGGGGCCTCTTCAGGCTTCCTGGGGACCTCTTGTGGGCCTCATGGGAGCTTCTCGGGGCCGAGGGCTCGAAATATCCGTTCGGGTCCCCCGTCTTGGCATGCTTCTTGGAGCCGTCTTGGGGGCTTCTGGGGCGTCTTGGAGGCGCTTTGGATTCTGTCTTGGGGTCCTCTTGGGCTGTTTCGGGGTCCTCTTGGAGGCTCCTTGGGCCGTGTTTGGTCGATCTATTGGGCCTCTTCGGACGTCTTCGAGCGGGGGAAAGCGGAGAAGGCGAGGGCACCCAAATCTTTCAAAAAATGAAGGAGAATCCATAAAAGTTGCTTCTTGGGGCCCTCTCGGGAGTGCTCTTGGAGGCCTGTTGGAGCGTCTTGGATGTCTCCTGGGCAGCCTGGAGGGCGTGAAAGCGTTTGGGACCGATCGTTTGGCGATCGGGGGCCCTCTTGGACCATCTCGGGGTCCTCTTGGGCCACTCTTGGCCTGCCTTGGTATTTTTTGCGGCTCTGGGACCCCCGGTGGGCATGCGTATCTGACCCGGGACCCCCACCCGGGAGATGCGCATCTGACCCGGGACCGCCCCACTGGCCACACACACACACACCCCGACGGGGAAGGGATCAAAGAGAAGGGGTCCCTTTTTCGATTCGATTGCGACATTGCTGGTGATTTTTTCTCGCCGACAGGCGTGAGGAGGAGGGTGCAGGGAAAGGGGACGACGGAGACGACGACTGACGGAGACGACGACTCGAACAGACAGACCCCTTTCACACGCCGACAGGGTCGGCGGATTCGAATGACGACTCCAAGAACATCTTGCTCGCAGGGTTTGAGTCGACGCTCGACCTGGATACGGTGGTGGCACAGTTGCGCCGTGGTGCATGACAACGGCGGCCATCGTAAATTCGGAGGGCATGTGAGTCTCTGAGAGCGAGCTCCGCTGCCAGGTCGCTGGCTCTCCCCAATCAGCCGTGCGATCGAAGCGCAGCATCCTCTGCTGCAGCGCCCCGTGCACAATGCACACTTCAAAGACAACGTGCCTATGTTCAGACTCTCAATTTGGACATGCGGACTCTCGAGTCGGACGAGGCACCGATCTTCCTCGAAGACCGCCGGACGTCCGAGGATGAACAAAAACTGGCAAAGTTATCGGAGTTGCCACATCTACGTTTACGGCCTCGTCCTTCTCTTGCTCCTCTTCCTGAGGACTCTGCATCAAAGAACATGGTCACCCACGAACGCAAATAAAGGAAATCACATTAAGCCAATACGAAGTGGCCTGGTAATTACAGTGGTCTGCTTGCGGGAACCTGGCATGAAACCGAGGGCAAGCTGATTCAGAAGTCTCCTGCCGCGGTCGGTAGCCCGACCTCGACACGGCGAAACGAGGGGGGGCAAGTAAACGATTGGAGGCACCGCAACCGCTCTCCTCACAAGGGTCTTGAGGATACGAAGGAACAATGCCCGACAGCTGGAAAACCTCGAGCAGTCGGCGGGGCCGTTCAAGAAGCAACGTGCGCCTTGGCAGCGGCAGCAGCCCGCTCTAGCACTCCACCTGCACATTCGCCTTCGGCCGTGACTCCTCGATACGACACACACACACACACACACGGCACCACGCCCAACCGTTCACCGCGACGGGCACATGGCGGGGTTTGGCCGGATACAATTGGGGAGTGAGGATGGTTCGCTACAGGTGCGCTTGTGGGTGATGTCGCAGTCGGCGGCGGCAGCACCCGCCTGGCCGACCCAGAAGGCGACGCCAGTGATCGGGGCGTCGTACAGGTCGAAGCGGGTCCGCGGAGAGGCGGGCGCTCGCAAGGGACGGAGGACTGCGTTGCTCGCCTCCTCTGCGTGGCGTTGCCGCCGCGGCCACAGGCAGGCCGCATGCATGCCTCGGCGGAGGACCTTGGCTTCGGAAGCGAGCGCTTTAACTTCTTGGAGATCCGAAGCCAGGACAACCCCAGGCTTCCAAAATCCGAAGGGAGCCTCCAGAAGTCGCGCCGCCACAGGTGACCCCACGTCGTCTTGGTGTGCGCAGTCCCCACCTCACCCCGATCTAAAAAATCCAAAAAAAAAAAAAAAAAAAAAAAACACAAACTCAGAATCCGAAAAAAACATGCAAGGGTGGCCGACCGAAACTACGCACAGCTATGATCGCCAGGAGCTCCGCACTGCCAATGTCAAGGGCAAGGTCGACCAAAATTTCAGAATCTCGTGCTTTGACTCGCTGATGCCGGGAGGTTTTCCTATCGAAACCAAGGCCCAGTCTGCCACCATCAAATCAGGCCAGTGCGCGTCGAAAGCCAAGCCGTCAACGTGAACATCAGGGCCTTCAAGGATTCTCTGCCCAGCGCGCCACAAGATGTATTCGTCGATCGGCCGCCGGAAAAAGTGAACAGGGGCAGACACCAACGGACGTTTGACTAGCAAGCGAACCTCGGGCACGTCCTCACGCGGTGCAAGGGCGGCCATAGCGGTCGGTGCCAGAGTGTGCCACGCTCGCTGCGTTTGATACACTCCGCGTTGGTGGCATTACCTGCAGTGTGCCTACGAGCCATGGGCCACTGCGCGTCGACGATCGCGTTTATGAGGTTGGGTCTCTCGGACGCTCCCGTAGTGTACACGACAGCCAGGGTCCGAGGGTGTATACCACGATGGTTGAGTCGCTGCAGGAGGTCAAGAGAGATTGCCAGATGCTGCGAACATTCCCCTTCGGAGACTTGAGACCGCTGCCAGTCCAGCACGGCAGCATCGACAAGCATGCAAATCTTGCGTGGGCAGAAGCCGACAGAATTGATGAACTCGCCAGCGTGCGACCTCCAGGCAGGAAACTCTTGCAAAGTCCAGCCCACACGGGCCAGCGTCAGAACAAGCGCGCCAACAGGTCCTTGAACGTCCACTTGTTCGACCCCTTTCATGTTTCGACCCCTTCCGACTCCTTCTTCCTATGGCGATGATTATGAATGATGGTTGCATGATTATATTTCGGTTCTTCCCCAAGCAGTGGATTATTCCGATACCGTTTCCTTCCAATTGTTTACATAATTGCAGGCCTTGGTTTCCATAATTGCGGCTTTGGCTCCCATAAGAGCCGACCCGGGTTTCCATAATTGCGGATTTGGGCAGCCATGTTTGCGACGTCCAGGGGGGGCAAATTCAGAATGGGCGCACAGTTGGCGAGAGTAGCGCAAGACGGAAAGAGAAAAGGAGCAGCAGCAACAGCGGTTCCGTTCCATTACATATCATTGTTTTGTGTTTGTTTGTGACAATGTTGTTGTCTCCACTCGTTTCCACCAGGTTTTATTTCTCAGGATTCCAGCCCGTTCTTGTTCCGATGTGTTTCTAGATGTTTTTGTGCTCTTATGAAATGAGGACCTGTGTCTTTCTTTCTGGACGCCCGTGTCTTTATTATGGGCGCACGTGCTCGATCATGGAAATTGCTCTCCGTGATGAATCCTGTGCTTCCCCACATATTTGATCAATGTTGAACATCTATTCCGAAATAGCCACATCTTGCTGTCCGCTGGAGATTCATGTCGGCTCAACCTTGTTGTCCCATGGTTGTTGCTGGCTTACGGGTTATCGCCATTTCCTTTTGTTTGTATGGTTTTCCCGATGTCACGCAATGGCCGGCCACGGCCAGGGACAAGCAACCAACGTGGCCGCTTTTCAACGAATTAAGAACATGTACAAAAGTGTTACTTACCATGAGGTTGTGCTGGCAAAATGTGGGAAAGCAAATCATCGACGTGGAAATGTATGGAATATTGGGCTAAGTATATCTGATTGGTATTGGCAATACTTACGCACACACCCACACACACACACACGCGGCTTGCATGCACAGGTTTGGAAATGTGCCGTCATGGGTCTCTTCTTCTCATGGTGAGAATTACGAAGTGTTGCCTTACAGACGATAGTAACACGGACAAACCAGCTTGCAACAGATGCCGTTGGAAGAGGTGCTTGCGTTTGCCGGTTCAGAATCCGTGACAGTTCCCTCCTCCCCCACCTCATCCTCCCCTTTCCTCCTCCTCCGCTCCTTCCTAATTTGTTTGGATGCGTTGTCGCTTCCTCCCTTGAGACCACGCTTTCGGTGCCGCTGCTCGTTGGTTCTTTGGACAGCTGGTCTGTGGTCGCGGTGCCAGGGGGGAAAGGTCGGCTGGGAATTGCCTTGGCCGCAGTGGTGGACTGTCAGGTCAGCATAGGTACTGCCGTCGTTTGTTGACAATCCGTTAAAAGAGATTACACGTGCTGCATGTTTGATAAGATCAATGAGTTATTCAACGAGCTCGGACGCTGTCGTGATTGCATATTCTTGTGGCCGCATCGTGCTCTTGTTGGTGGTATGGGCCGTTTCTCTCGACGACAGCAGCTTGTCCCATCCCCTAGACTCGAATCGTGCATTATGTCGTGCCTCTCCTCGTGCGTAGTAGTGTGTAATGCACTCGTTGGAGGACATGAAAAATATTCGGAACCCGGATACGTGGTTCTTCAGCGCTACGGTCTCGACCCCAATGGTTGCGTACCCGTTGCATTCCGCAGAAACATTGCACCAGGATGCGTATGTAGGGCCTTCGAATTGTGCTCAGGATCGGTTTGGGGGATCGTCGATGTCAATGCCTAGATCGATGCTATCAACATGGTGGCCTGAATTCGGTAACCGGGCGACTCATACATTGTGAGGGCGGTGGTGGTTGTAGTCGGATGTCTTGGATGCGAGAGTTCGTGTCCTCTTGTGTTCCACTTCCGGCTCTAGTGCCCATGGGACGTACGGAACACAAAATCGCGGTAAGAAAGACATGCATGATATTGGTTTCGATACGTAAACAGTGTGTCCCTTGGTGGGGCTTTTACTTGTCAGATTGCAAAATTCGATGTGTCCGCCGGGATGTCGCCACGTTGCGCCAGAATGCCGCCCGTGGGCGCCTCGTGGGCGCCCCGTGCGCTGGGTGTTTCGCTGTGGTTTCGCCACGGTGCCGCCCGTGGGCGCGAGTGGGCGTTGCGCGCTGAGTGGATCGGCCAAGGTTTTGCCACATTGCCTTCCGTGGGTTCCTCGTGGGCGCCCGCTGCGTTGGGTGGATCCGCTGTAGTTTTGCCACGTTGCCGCCCATGGGCGCCTCGTGGGCGCCCCGTGCGCTGGGTGGGTCCACCGAGGTTTCGCCATGTTGCCGCCCATGGGTGCCTCGTGGGCGCCCCGTGCGCTGGGCGGGTCTGCCGAAGTTTCGACATGCTGCCGCCCGCGGCCGCCTCGTGGGGATTCTGCGCGCACGCTACACAGCTCACACCACATAGCTTCTTATTTGAAAATAAGAAGAGAGTCCACCACCCTCTCCCCCGCACGGGATTCACGCCAACCCCCCTGGGGCACTGCACACTCTGCACACTACATACGGATACGCATAACGCTCAGAGAGCGTGCGAATTTATTTCAGTCCGGCTAACGAGTCATCCTTATTTTGAACAGAAATATATGGATAAACACGTGCGTTTCGCAAAAAAAAGTTTGCGAATAGCAGCTTGCAAAAATTGGCACGAATCCACGTACGCGCGCACATGTAGAAGAATACACATCACATTTACCAAAGTTGCAGGCATTGTAACATGAAAACGCCAACAGTTCTTGCACATTGCGTCACAAAGCATGCATGTGTTGCCTGGGCGCAAGCTTTGAGGCCATGTCCATCCCATGTGGTTTTAGAAGTCTCGTCGAGAACCCACAATCTCACCTTACCACGCGGTGCACCCGCTTTGACCCATCACGCGCCCAGCGCACGAGTCCGCATCAAGTGAAGCCATGCGGGCCACGAGCGCGCCGCGACGCGCGCGTGCCAAATTCCGTCCAAACCCATGGGTTTGCGAAGCATTTCAACATGTAGTTTTTCAAACACAAATGAAAACAAATGTGTTTCACAAAAAGAGTTTGCTAGGGCCATCACCCGCGCCCGCGCCGCCGCACCACGTCATCGTCATCGACAATCGCCGCCAGTGCTGCCATCATCACCCAAGCACCTTCACCACCGACACGTGGACATCAGCATCGTCATTGTCGTCACCAGTATTGATACCGTCTTTGGCCTTGTCGTCCTCATCGTCATCGTTGCCACCACCACCCCTATTATCATCAGCATTGCCACCGTTGCCAGCATCATCATGATACCGCGACCGCTCGAGCCACCGACACGCATTGAAGTGCCCGCGCGCTCGCGTGGCCTTTGAGGCGCGCTAGGAAGTTCACATTGGTAACCGCCTCGCGGCCGCATCCTTTGCGCCAAACCTATTGACCACTCTGCGCTCGAGCTTGCGCGCGCCAGCGATGCCGCAGAGAAGCGCCAGCCAGGGGCAGGCAGTCATCGCAATCGCGGCCGCATGGGTTGTGCAAAACAAGTTGCGGGTAGAGGATGGGGCGATTGCGCAAGCAGTGGAGTTGACAATTCATGACGTGGCAAAAAGTATGAACCCATCTGGTTTACCCCACATAGTTCCTACGGCATATGTTGCACCGTATGAGTTACACATCATAGTTCACATATCGCAAATTCTACCACGCAGCTTGCACCACGAAGGTTGCACTGCCTATATTCGCTGTCAAAAAGACGAAAATTCTTTACCACCCTCTTTCCCTGGGCTTATCGACCCCCTCCTGGAACATCCCAAATTATTATGTATTCATATATTCCTACTTAAATATCTTTATTACCCAGAAGCCCACACACACACAAACCGGACCACCCCCCCAAGGGACGCCCTGGACGCTTTTTCGGACGTCTCAGCGGCCCCTTGGACGCCCTTGGAAAAGGTCCGCTGGCCCTTCCGGGCGTCCCAAGGCGCCTTGCCGGGCCTTGCGAGCAGGCTCAAGGCGACCAGAGGGGTCATCGGAGAAGCGCAAGAGAGACCCAAGACAGCACACGAGCGCTCCAAGAGGAACCTCGATGATCTGAAGGCAGCCCACAGGGCCCCCAGGACACCCAAACAGGTTGTTAAGAGAGGTCCGAAGAAGCAAAAATCGTCCCGTTCCTTCGGGCAAATGTATAAGTTTGACATCCGCTGTTTGGGATTTGGCAGCGTCCAAGACGGCCCGGCGGGCCCCCCATATCGCCACAAGACGGCCCAAGAGGTCCCCCTGAGGGCTTGAAGACGGCCCAAGAGGTCCCCAAGACTGCCCCAGAGAGCCCCGAGACTGCCCGCAAGAAGCCCAAGATGCCCCCAGAAGGCTCCCAAGAGAGACCCACGAAAGCCATGGGAGACCCCAAGAAGGCCATTGGAAACCCCCGAGAGGGCCGTACATGGCTTCAGAAGACCTCTGGAGGGCCCCAGCTCCCCGAGACGGCCCAAGAAGGCCCTGGGACGGCCCAAGATGGCCCCAGGACGGCCCAAAAAGTTCCAAAAACGCCCAGACTGCGTTTCCAACGGAGTACATCGAACTCACCCGACGATCTTGGTTCCACGCTTGAGGCTCGAGGTTTAAGTCCCGCGATCGAGAGAGACAGGCAATGAATCTAGATTCGAAGTTCAACGATCGGAGATTTCCTGAGTGTCTGGGGCCCTCCAGGCATTCAGGAAGCTGCTGAAAATCGATGTGTTCGGAGCTACTGCGACTTCTTCGGCATGTCATGTGAACGCTCCTTACTTCCTTAAAGGACCTTCGCGCGTGAAAAAATCAGCATTCCTTCCCCACTCCTGCGCACAAGCGTGCAAGCGCATCGGGCGAACGCGGTGTCAGCAGGCACCAGGGACATCAGAAAAATGAGCCGGTCGCCCGTCCAGGCTTCGAGGCCCCCCCCCGCTGAAGCAAGCGATGATTTATTGTTTTGCTGGGGACGGTCCGGAGCAAAGCGCGTGGCGCGAAGCGCCATTGGAGTTTTGTGTGTGTGTATGTATATATGTCCATATTTGGGCTCTGGCCTATTCCCCCCCCCGCTGGAATCGATGGTTGTTTTTTTCCAACTAAACTGACGACGTACCACTCGACCCATGAGCGAGCACGACGTCGCGCGCGGGCTCCCGAGCAGACCTTCGATGACGACCTGCAAAAACAACAGAGGTAGTGCACACTGCGAGCAGCAGATGGAATTGAGCAGACATGAAAAAAAGACCGCGCGACCCATGAGCGACCACGATGTCGCGAGCCCCTGAGCCAGGGCCCCGCGCAGGAGCCAGCCTGAGCAATGCGCCCTCACTCCCTCGCCTAGACCTCTGCGGGCGCGGCGTCAGAGCAGCCTGTTCTGCCACGGGCCCCCGTTGGCATACGAGAGGCCCTTGAACATGCCCTCCACGTCGTCGCCCACGTTGACGTAGAACACGTACTCCTCCATCTCCAGCGCGTCGAGCTGCAACTGGCCGTAGCGCTGGCGGTTCCACCCCTTCAGCCGAGAGTTTTCAGATTCGGCGTCGTTGGTGTGGAAGGCAGTGGAGGGGTCGCGATAGTTCTCCTCGTGGACGACGGGAGGCGCGCTCTTGTAGCCCAGGGCCTTCACGGCAGCGGTGGTGGACGTCCAGCCGTCGTGGACCAGGAAGGTGCCCTTCTTCACCTTCTCCTCCAGCGTGGCCTTGATCTCCCCCAGCCCACGCGGCGCGCCCTCCTGCGCATCTGCCGCCCGCGGAAGAAGTCGATAGGCAATCATATTGTTATTCTTATTCTCGTGCGTGCACACCGTCTTCCCGCGCCCGACGCGGATCGCCAGCCACAGCCACCGCCCAGAATTCTTCAGGTTGCCGCAGGCTTCTTCGCCACCCTCGCAGCCGCCTTCCTCATGGCTGGCGCCCGCTTCGCGGTGCCCTTCCTCGTCTTCAGGTAGTTCGAGTCGCGCTCGGTTGGCTCCTGGTTGCGGTAGACCGCGCGCGCAGGCTGCCTCTTCAGGACGCCCTTCATGACGAGCTTGCGAGTGGAGCGGTGGGTCCTGCGGGGCGCCTGGCGGCGCTGCCTGGCGCCCCGCTTTGATATGCCCTTGTTCTCGACGGCCCACCCGTCCTCCTTGCGCACGCCGATGACGGTCTCATCGACGACAACCGTCCGATTCGGCCCGCCGATTGCGTGGACGCCCAAGGAGACCGCGCCTTTCCCCAACGTCTCCTGGTAGAGCCTCCGCCATGCCAGGAACGCGTTCTTGCTGTAGTTTCCGCAACCCGCCTCGACCTCAGCCTTGATGTCCTTGTAGGGCCGCCCCAGGCGGAGCAAGTTCACGAAATGTAAGAACGGCATCCACGAGTTCACCTGCACGCCCTTGAGCCAGCCCTCGGAGTTGAGCTGCACCTCCATGTGCTTGTGCCCAACGCTGGCGCAGGTCCAAGCGTACGTGTTCCCCCCCTTGGTCACGCGGCACACGAACTTGGCGGGGCCGGAGCACTGGGGGCACTTGTCGCGCGTGCGCGCCACGCCGAAACGTATGAATACAGCGGCGGCTCTCACAGTCAGCGCGTCGGGCACCCCCTTGGGCATGATCAGCGGCCTTTTGACGACGTGCTCAACGATGGCTTTGTGCGAGGAGAACCATGGGGAGCATAGCTTGCGCTGCCACTCTTGGAAAGCCATAGGCTGCAAGGGCGCGCCGAAGAGGCCGGGGGGTCCTGGCCGACTTCGGCATGGCTCGGGGGCGCGTGCTACTAAGCGAGCTTCGGGGGCGCGGGCGAAGTGACCTCGAGCCAAAGCGGCGGCTATGCGGCAGGGCAGGGGCAGGGGGCGACGACGAATGCTCCTAATTTCGGCGAACCACTATGCCTACTGATCTCTGTCTCTGTGCAAGGCGCCGAACCTTTTCTTCACGCGGGACCGACGGCGCATATATGATTGCAAGCATATGCGCGGGCGGCTGAGCAGTCGGTGAGCGGGCGGAGGGAAGTACAGAAGCGGGCACAAAAAGAAACCTACCAGACTCACACGCGCAGCTACTCCGAGAGCGGGGCGGCCTCAGGAGACCGAGGCGTCAGAATTGATCTTCGGGTCGACGACGCGTCTCTGCCATATCTTGCTCATCCCGTCGTTCGTGCTGGTCCCTCCAGCAGGCCCCTTGTCCGCTTTGTTTTCCTCGGCCGTCTTGGTGCTGTTGGTAAACTTGTCCTTGAGGTCCTCGCCGCTGTAGCTCGGGCGAGCGGCCGCCTCCTCTCCCTTTGTGAACCTGCGCCAGGCCTCATCCTCCACCGAAGGGGCCGCCATCGTTCGGGCCGCACAACGGCGCGTTGGCGGGTCAGCGAGTGCGCAGGGCGACGGGACAAGCCCCGACGATCTCGAGCCTGAACGCCCGCGGCGGCGACTCGACATTGGGTCGGCCCCTGAGATTGCACCGATCTTACATGGGGGCAACAGACGCAGGTACGACAAGGGCGCCCTTGCGATGGCGGGGGGGCTGAGCGATTATCCCTGATTGATAATGACGATGTTTTCTTTCTTGATTTCCAAGGTGGCCTCGCTGAATTCGATTGTGCCTGCAATCATGGCAAGAGAGACCGCTGCTGGCAGCGCGGCGCGCTGGCCGCCTGGCTGAAGCAAAGATGCGCTAGTGTTTGTTCTCCAGGGCCCGCGAATTACCACGAGGCACGGCGCGTCGGTGACGGTGGTAGTGTACATCGCCGATGACTGGAAACAAACACACACTTCGGGGCGGCGGGTGTGCAGCGGTGGGGCGGTGGGAGAGCTCGTGGGCAGGTGGGGTGTGAGAAGGAGCAATGGGGGAGAAAGTAAGCGGCCTCGCTGACTCTGTTCCGACCTCAGAGGGGCGCGCTCGGGGGGGGCGCCCCAGGAGCAGCCCGACGCCCCAGCATGTAGTACACCAGGTTGCGGCCCTGCGCCTTGCCGAGGTAGTACTCTGCCTGCATCACCTGCACGAGCGCGGGGGCCGCGGGGTCAAAGAGCCCGAGCTCCTTGTTGCTGTACCGCAGGCCGTAGACGTGCCTCGGCGTGCCCGCGCGGGAGGGGCCCTCCACGACCACGACCGAGCGGCCAGAGTGGACCCCTTCGAAAATGAGGTGCTCGTGCACGGGGACGAAGAAGGTCGCGGCGGAGTTGTTCCTCTGGGAGCTGTAGAGGGAGTTGTCGTTGACCTCTTGCATTGTCAGGACTGCCAGGTCCTCCGGAGAGAGGTCCGCCATCGGGGCGCCCATGCCCGCCCACCATGCCGCCGTCAGGAGGAAGTTGCCCTTGTCTGGCACGGGGGTCTGGAGGAGACAGACCTGGGACCCGCAGCTGTGCAGGACGGCAACGCCCGGACGATCGGTCGAAGTGCTCGGCCAGGATTGGATGGCGAATTCGACGCAGGAGGCCTCGTTCGCCGTGGCCACCGCCAGCCGCACCAGGGCCTCCTGCTGAAAGCACGTCGCCAGCGCAAGGCAGCCGTCGAAGAGCAGCACCTCGCTGGTGGTGGCGGCAATGCGGCGGAGGCTCGTGATGAGGACCATGAGAGCGTCGTCCTCCAGCTGGGACAGGACGGCCGCCATCCGACTGTAATCGGGAGACGGCCTGTCGGCGTACAGCTGCCTGTAGTCCGCGAACTCGGCGTGCGCCAGCACGGCGGCCACGCCGTCCTTGACCTCGCTGCAGAGCTTGAGGAGCCACGGTACCTGGGCCACGGGCCTGGCTCCATAGAAGATCTTGATGATCTCCACCTTCGCCTCTTCCACTGGGACTCCGAGATACTGCGACAGCGCGGACCTCCACTGCTTGTAGAAGCGGCACACGCGCGCCAGCATGGGGAAGCGGTCCTCGGAGTACACGCCCGCCCGCTGCAGGGCTACCTTGAAGAGCCGCGGGTGGCAGCACGGAGCGTCGGAGCCCACATGGTCAGGGAAAGCGACTTTCCTCGCCTCGCGAGACAGCTTCTGCCCAGCAGGCCCGCGCGCAAACTTCCGCTTGTACCACTCCTTCGTCTGGTACGGCACCTGCAGGCTGACGGAAGAGTCCTGGCCGCTGGCCACCCAGGCGTCCTCGCACCTCTGCAGGTACGCCTCCAGCACCTGCTGCCCCCGATCGTTCCCAGTCTTCGCATATTCCATCAGGCCGATGAAATCTGGCTTTTCTGTGCACGTGAAGTCCGTGGCCAGCCTGCCCTCGCGGCCAGTGACATCGTTCATGTTCTCCAGGATCATGCTGTACCACTCCACGGCTCCGTCCTGCGTCAGGTTGGCCTGGCTATCGATGTGGTCGAACGGGGATCCCCAGTCGCCCCAGCTCCCGAACGCCTGATCGCCCCCATTCGCGACCATGGCTTCGACCATGCTGTCGTAGTTGACCAGGAGCTTCCGCACCGCGTTCGCGTCGGAGCGCTGCAAGAGGGCCACGGGGGACTTCTCCAGAGCATCGACCAGGTTTTGCCACTTAGAGGCATGTTTCCTGCCCGCCTGGCGCGCCCCTGGCAAACAAGCGAGCGACGAGAACAAGTACTCCTTCAGGACAGGCTTGGCCGGCGTGGCCTTGTGGGCGGCGACGACGAGCTTCGTGGCCTCCGCGTGGGTCTCGTCCTCCTCGCCGGGCGGAGCATCATGGCCGCCGCTGAGGCGCGTGCCCAGCCACGCGGTGTCCCGAGCGACCCTCGGGCAGACGGCCATCAAGTTGTCCTGCATGCGCAGGCAGTTGGCGATGGACCCCTCCGCACTCTGGAAATAGGGGCGGCACCAGTTCCGAAACATCAAGCACGCCGTGAAACCGTGGGCGAGGAAGGGGTCGAGCTCCGCCTGCGGGATGTTGAGGAACCGCCCCTTGGAATGATCCACGTCCTTCGGGTCGTTCACGAACTGCGCGCGGCCCATGCGGCAGCAGATGATCCTCCGCTGCAGTTGCACCAGCGCCTTCTCGCTGCTCCCAGAGAACTCGATGGTCGGGATGTTCTCCCAGTTTAACTCCAAGTCCTTCTTGGACTCGCCGAACTTGCGACTGCTGTTGAAGCCATAGTTCACGCGGCAGGTGAGCGCCTCGTCCACAACGAAGCGCTTCCAGATGTCGCCCAGGAACGAGGCGCCGCCGTCGCACTCCTGGACCCGCACGGCACTCATGGCCCAGGCGCCCCCCCCCAGCCTTGCGCCACTCGTTGCGGTCTTGGAAGGCGCCGCAGTCGAGGTAGTGCACGTGGTCGGTACCGAACAGGTGTTCCTGAAGCTGCGACTCGGCGTGCTTCCCGCCTCCGCCCCCGCCGATCTCGAATGTCATCTTGGCGGAGGTCACCTGCGCGAAGGCAAGGTGCAGGGCGGCCATCTCGAGTTGGAACACGCCGTGGTTGTCGAAGTACAGGCCCTGAAGGAAAGTTGCGAGGCGGTCGGCCCAGTCCGCCTCCACGATGCCCTCGGCCTCGAGCTCGGCGGGCGTCCATTGGTACTTCCACGGAACCCTCACGTAGCAGTGATTGTCGCGATGAGCTGGAGCTGGGTCCCACTGGGCGTCCAGGTAGACGTCCAGGCACTTGACGCCCTTCGACTGCAGCTTCGGCGTCTCGCAGTGCGTGAGGAACAGCTTAGTGAGTGGTGCTCGGAGACTGCCGCTGTCCCACTGCTTCTTAAAGCTGCCCATCATCTCGCCGCAGCGGAGCAGCCAGTTGCCCTTCCAGACCTTGTTGTTCGTGGTCTTCTGCAACGCGGCGGAGTGCTCCTTGGCGAACTCACGCAGCCCCTGCGTCACGTTCGCACGGCCGTTGGTGAGAAAGCCTGCCGCCACGGGCTGGACTTGGGACCACTGGAACACTACGCACTCGAACGCTCCAGGGTCTCTGTCTGCGCCGCCGACCATTGCCAACAAGCCCTCCGTAGCGGTGAGCAGTTCCCAGGCGTTCGCATCGAAGCTGGGCGCGTGGTCCCAGCACCCGTCCGAGTACCTGAAGACTTGCTTGAAATGGGCGCGCCAGTCCTCGCCGTCGATGAACAGCAGAATGCAGAGTTTGTGGCGGTTGCTCAGCTGGTAGTTCGAGATCGACGCCTCGCACAGGAGCTTCAGGATGGACAGCACCGCCTGCTTCTCCTTGCCCGCCGTGGGATATTGGTCCTGCACGGACTTCTGGATCCTGGCCACCTGGTCGAGCGGTGATCCCGATTCGGACACCGCTGGCGCCGCGGGGGCCGCCTGGGGCGCGACGACGCTGGCCCGTGGAGCAGACCCCGACAAGAGAGAGCGCGCCATGGTGGTGGGCCCCATCCACGCGAGGACGCTTTGGAGAGGGCTGATCTGGGCCCTCGGCGGCGGCCCCTGCTTCAGCTGGCTGCGACGGGGCCTGGCTTGCCACGCCGCCTCTCTGCAGAATGTCCCCGAGGGCCTGGGTCAGGGTCTCCTGGGCAGGGGCGCGGGAGTTCGGATTCTCCTCATCGCTGGAGGTCAAGTCCACGGGGCCCACGTTCGACGTGTTCAGGCGGCGGAAGTGGCCCGCCGGCGGCGAGGGGCCTTCTGCGCTGGGTGAGGCCATTAAGGGGACTGCAGGTGGCCGCGCGGGGAGCACGGGACGACCAGGTTTTGAAACAGAGCGCCTTGAGCCAAAACAGCTGAGGCCAGCGAGCATATGCGCACATAGTTTGGTCATGATGTGATTCTGTTTGTGGGTTCCGCTGAGGCTCCTTCCGTTGTGTTTCCTGTTGCGGCTCTGTTGTGGTTCTGGTTGTGGTTCCTTCATGTGTGTTTCCTGTTGCGGTTCCTGAGTTGATGTGGTTCTTGGTATGTTCTTTGTTGTGGCTCCTGTGGGTGGTTCCTCTCATGGCGCCCTTCTGGGTTCCCTGTTGGTCCCCTGATTGGTCACCTTAAGGGTTCCCATTTGGTCCCCCCCTTTGGTCCCCCCATTGGTCTCCCTATTGGTCCCCCCATTGGTCTCCCTATTGGTCCCCCATTGGTCCCCCTATTGGTCCCCCTATTGGTCCCCCTATTGGTCCCCCTATTGGTCCCCCTATTGGTCCCCTTATTGGTCCCCCTATTGGTCCCCCTATTGGTCCCCCTATTGGTCCCCCTATTGGTCCCCCTATTGGTTCCCCTATTGGTTTCCCTGTTGGTCCCCCTTATTGGTTCCCACGGTGGTCCCCCTTGCGGTTCCCTCTGTGGTCCTTTTTCCGGTCCTCTTGGATCCCGTCGTCGTCCAATCCTGCAAGTTATGGCCCACACTGCCACTTGGTCACGCGGCCCAATGAATGGACACGGGCAGAGGAAGGAAGGTGGTGGCCATCCCTCCACCTCCTGCTGCCCCTGCTCCTGTTCCTGTCGCGGGTCCACCCGGCCGAAAAAGCAGGCCAGCCGCTGAGCAGCTCGCGGACAGCACGTGTCCTGAGGGGAAGGATGGTCTCCTCTGGGACGGCACCGCCCACGCATTTCATGCCATTTTTTGTAATTTTTTCCGTTCAAACCATCTCTGCAGTGGTCCGGCGGGCCGGGGCCTGCTATTACGGCAGCGTGCATGAGGAGGGGGTGGTAGGTGTCGAGAACGACGACAACGACGACGACGACGACGACGGCGACGCCAACGACGACGCCGACGACCAGGACGGCGACGACGACGGCGGCGACGACGACGACGGCGACAGCGGCGGCGGCGGCGGCGGCGGCGACACCGACGACGGCGACGGCGACGACGGCGGCGGCGGCGGCGGCGACGGCACCGATGACCCCGACCACGGCGACGACGACGACCACGACGACGACGATGGCGGCGACGACGGGGCACATGCAGTGGAGCGAGGCGCGCGCGCGGGATCTACACTCAACTCCGATCCTTGCCGAAGCGAATGTGTAGAGAGATAGAACAAGAACGTCTCTTGCCACAAGTGTTTTGTGAAGCCGGAGATGTAGATTGTCAGCATATTCCCAAAAAAGTGTGTAGAAATACACATCAGATTGTCTCTTGCCGGAGCTGCGTGCGAAGCCGAAGATGTGGATCGTCAAGCTCTTGCCAAACAGAAAACGTGTAAAGATATTGAATGAATCTTGCCACAACTCCTTGCGAAGCCGACAACTGGAGAACGTCAGCCACTTGCCACGGAAAAAGTGCAGCGATGTAGAACCAGATCTCTCTTGCCACAACTGCGCGTGAAGCTGAAGATGCTGATCGTCAGCCACTTGCTACAGAAAGTGCGTGGAGATACAGATTGTCTCGTGCCACAGCTGTGTGTGAAGCCGAAGATGTAGATCGTCAGCATCAGTCGCGGGCGCCCGGCCACCTGGGAGTGAGGCGCGCCCAATCCGCGAGCACAGGCGGCGCAGGTGCTGGCATTTCTTTGCCCTTCTGGCCGGGCACGGCGCAATCGGAGATGTGCGCTACGACGAAGTACGCGCGCTCGAAGTCGGTCTCCCGCACGAGCGGATACGGCGCGGCCTCCCCGTGGCTGTCGATGCACCGAATCCCGGTTTCCGCCGCGTCCCAGCGGAGCGCGAGGAGGGAATGGGTCGGGACACGCCCCTGAGAATTGGGAGCGCCCCCGAGCCGCCACGAGCCGCCACCCCGCCGCGCGGCGCACACACCACGAGGCCTCGCTGAAGCTCGACGTGGCCCGCGCCGCGAAGAGGCATGTGAAAACCCTCTCGCGGCCCAGCAGGCGCAGCGTCCCGACCCTGGCCAACAGGTGGCCGGGCCACTGGGCACTGAGGCAGCCACGATCCATGAACTGATCTGCCAGCCGCCGCGCGTCGACCCAGACGCCGCATTTGGCCGCAAGCGCCGAACTCGCTGCTGCTGCACAGGCGTGTGCCGAGCAGCTGCTCCACGCCCCCTGATCCAGAACCTCGTTGCCGATGGGGCGAGGCCCCTCCGCGCTGCTCTGCTGGGCGGGCGGGCGCGCGTCTGGCTGCTCGACCACCGCCGGCTGCGCCTGGGCGGGCGGGCGCGCGTCTGGCTGCTCGACCGCCGCCGGCTGCGCCTGGGCGGGCGAGCGGGCGGCTGGCTGCTCGACCGCCGCCGGCTGCGCCTGGGCGGGCGGGCGGGCGGCTGGCTGCTCGACCGCCGCCGGCTCCGCGCCGGCGGGGGCAGCCGCCCGCGAGGCTTCCTCCTGCTCGACCGCCGCGGGCTCCTCATCCGAAGAGTTACCACCTGCCGGGGGGCGGGCGATGGCGGCCGCCACCCTGGCGCGCCACTCCTCTGAGAGCCCCCCCATCCAGGACTCCACCTTCGACGGCTGCTGGTTCCGGAGAGCACGGATGATCCGCGCTCGGGCGCGCGGGGGCGCCTGCATGAAAGCACCAGGGCCGCGGCAGAGCCCGCAAGGGCCAACCACTTTCACATTCGCTCGCTTGCCTCCGGCGCCATACGTGCAGGTGGTCTTCTCGCAGCGTTTCCCCATGGGGCCAAAAAACACAATTGAATTGAATTCGTGAATTCTATAAAAGGCTTGGTCCGAAAAGGCTGCGGGTCGTCGTCGTCGTCGTAAGCCGCCGTCGTCGTAAGCCGTCGTCGTCGTCGTCGGCGGCGGCGGCGTCTTCGGCCCTCTTCATCTGTCTCGGTAAGGAAGCAAAAACCCGCAGAAGACGGACTCGCAAGGGCAAGGATGCTTTGAAGCCTTTGGGACCTCCTGTTATTCCTCCTTCGCTTCGCTTCGCTGTCGCTGGCAGCTCGTCGAATATGGAGCGGAGCAGCCCTAAACAGACATGCAACCTGAGGCCTCAAGACAGCTCCCCGCGACAAGGTGGATGGGCGGCTCAGCAAGGCATTGTGCACCTATCTACTTACCCGTGGGATCTCTACCTCCTCCTCCTCCTCTCCTCCTCCTTCTCCTCCTCCCCCTCCCTTCTCCCCCGCAGACCCCCCAGACGCATGGGGGGGAGACAGGAGGGACTGGATGAAAGCACAATGGTGCACGCCCTTCCTCCTCCCTCCGCCTCAGATCCCCCACGGGGCCAGGAACGGAAAGGGGGAATACAACGCAATGCAATCCAATGCGATTGCAATGCCAATGCAATGCGGTCGCAAAGCAATGCGATGCGATCGCACTTGAACGCGCCTCCATGGCATCGCTGTGCCAAGCGAGCCCCCTGGAGCGCTCCCCCCTGGAGTGCTCGGGGGCACTCCACTGCGGCCTGGAACCGTGGAGGCCTGCTGCTGCTCCCTTGCGGCCAGCGCCGCTTGCGATGGCCGACTCGCGGCGGGGGGGGGGGCGCCCCCCCCCCCCAAAAACAAAATTCTTGAATTTCCAACTTGTTTTTTTTTCCGCCCCCCCGCCCCCTTCCCACCCACCACCCACCACCACACGAACCCCCACCATCATCACTGCCCTGGCGGAGCGGGCGCCCACGGGACGGCTGAGAGAGCGAGGTGGGGGAACGTGTGGAAGGGGAATGGAGAGCACGAGTATGCATGTATATACATATATGGGCCCTGGCCAAGGAGATGAGTGTCCAAGGACCTCCGAAAAAACGAAACGACTCCCCCCCCCAATTCGTGCGTGAAGCGTTTGCGGTGGACCGAAATCCCTCCAAAACGAAACATCGATTCCAGCAGGGGGGGGAATAGGCCAGGACCCATATATAGATATATGTATATATGTATACATATATATGTATAAAAATATACTTATATATATATATATATATATACATTATATATGTATATGTATATGTATATGTATACATATATATGTGTGTGGTTTTGTTGCGGCGTTCATGTTACATACAGGCTCATGTCAACTTAAGATCCCGGTGATCGCCCCCGACCCACCCTTTCTCAGTTTTGTCCAACATCACCCACGCACGCGCGAGTATCGAGAGATCATGGTTAGAGAACCTTCTGCCAACAAACTCGCACAAAGTCCAGACGCGCGCGCACATGTCGAATTCATACCGAAGACAAGTTTTGCAAGCATCCCGACAGAAACGCAGCACAAAACTTGCATACGTTTTCATCAAAAATGTTGCAGAACATCCGCTCGCACATGTTACAATAAAGGAAAACCATCTGAAAATAGCATTGTCTTCCAGAAGAACCCGCGTTCCCACTTCACCACGTAGTGCATTCCCGTTGGTCCAGCATGCGCCTAGTGCACGAATCTTCACGAGATGATGCCATGCGGGTTACACGCCCGCGCCGTCACGTTCTCGTGTCGAAACCGTTTCAGGACCAATGTTGGTTTGCGGCGCATTTCTAGATAGGGATGTTCTAGCACGTGCGAAACAATGTTTTTTTTTGCAACCAGATTCTCACACGTATGACATAATGGAATTCCGCGTGGGCGCGCCCTTCCACGTTATCACTCACAGGCGCCATCGCGTCACCGCCGTCATCGTCATTCTGTTTCCCCCAAGTGCCCCATGATCGGCCAATCAGTGACCATCACCAGTGATACAAGGACATCATCATCGTCACTAGAGAAGGCACCGTCATTGGCTTTGCCGTCGTCGGCGTCATCATCGCCACCAATATCGTCGCTATCATCATCGCTGCCGTAATGGCGACTGTGATACCGCGTTAGCTTTGGTCACCGACCCGCACTGAAGTGCCCGCGCGCCATGGCGGCCTTCGAAACGTGCTGGAAAATTCCAATTGGCAAGCGCCATCGCGGCCGCGTCGCCTATTGCAAACCAGTTGGTCACTCCGCGCGCGAGCTTTCTCTCGCTAGCGCAGCCCGAAAGATGCGCCAGCCAGCGCCAACTAGTCACCGCAGACGGGGCCGCATGGGATCTGCAATACAAATGGCGGGTGGGAAGTTCGGATGACTACGCGAGCACTAAAGTTAACAAACTCCAGGTCGACATAGTGATGAAACCATCAAAGTAGCACTGCACTGCTTGCAATTCATATTTCGCACCACATGGATGCCACCAAACGTTGTACTACACCCCATTGATCGCACCACACAGAATTCCATTTCAAAAGAAAAACCGATTCTACCAACCCCCATCCCCAACCCCCAGGGTATCCGCACCCCCTCTGGGACCCCTCATCCCTATCTAATACTTTTACGCACGCGCACCGCTCATGGCAAAAGATTCATTGTTCAAGAATCGCCGGCGCATGTCCATTCGCGCGGACGCGCATGTCGAAGCTAAGCCGAACGCACACACACACACACAAGATGTGCAAGCATGGCAACATCAAAACACCAAAATCCGTTACGTGTCTCGTAACGAACCTTGCAGATAGCGTCCGCGCGCAGATGCTGAAATCACAAGGAAAGAACATGAGTGTAGGAATCTCGCCCACAGCCTGTTTTCTCCTCACCACGCGGTACATCCGCGTTGACTCAGCATGCGCCCAGCGCACGAATCCGTATCAAAACATCCATTTGGGCAACACGAGCGTCGCCACGCACGCACGTCGAGATCCTTCCAAAACCGTTCATGCTCGAAGCATGTCAAGAACGAGCTCTTCAAAACAAACAGAATCAACAAAAAGTGTTTCAAGTTCCTTGAATTTCCGCGCGCGCGCACCTCCTCACCATCACCCTCACAAGTGCCACCGCGTCACCGCCGTCATCGCCATCGCCAATCATCGACATTGCCGCCATCCTCAGCCAACCACTTGGACATCATCGTCATCGTCGTCACCGGCATCGGCGCCGTCATTGGCTTTGCCGTCGTTTTTGCCACCATCGCCACCACCATCGTTACGATCATCATCGTCGCCGCCGTTGTCGACGCCATTACGACACAGCGCCCGCCCGAGTCACCGACCCGCACTGAAGCGTCCGCGCGCCCGCACGACTTTTGAGAAGCGCTGTGAAGATCCCATCGGTAAGCGCCATCGCCCGCGTCGGTTGTGCCCAACCACCTGATCGGTTTGCGCGCGGGCTCGCAACCGCAGAGATGCGCCAACCAGCGCCAAGTAAACACCGCAGTCCCGGCCGCATGGGTCTTGCAGTACAAGTTGCGAGCGGGAGGGTGGGATGAGTGCGCGAGCAGTGGAGTAGACGATTCCGAGCTCTTCAGGGGGGATTGCGCCTCGTGTCTCACATAGCATAATTCACACTGCCGCAGTTATCCTTTCGTACGAGGGCTTAGGATCTACCACCCGCCCTCCCCCCCCCCGAGTTCCCTATCGCCTTTTCGTGGCCACGCTCAGGCCACGCAGATGTCCGCGCGCGTGCCGAGGCGCACGGGGGCAGGTCGAGGTCGAAGCCCATGGAAACACATCACGATGGCGGAGCAACGCAGGCGGCATTCGAGAGGCGACTAGGGCAGGGAGAGAGCGACAGGCGCGCAGGAAGGAACGTCCAGGAACAGGACGACGTCGAGGACTGGGAAGGCACGGCGCGAGGGCGAGGCCGAACACGAAGGACCCGCAAGGGCGACCAGGGTAAGATGCAAAGAAGTTCGACCAGGTAAAGTTTCCGCACGTGGCGCCATGGGAAGACCAGGCGAGATTAACACCCAGGGCAAAAGTCACAACCACCGCAGCACAGCCAACGACGACCAGGGTCGGCAGAATCTGGTGCTGGGTCGCAGGTATACCCTGTGTAAAACACGACACACAATGAGCGCGAAAACGGTGGCCTCCAGGACGTGGAGGACCGCGCAGCAGCCGGGACGGGCGGAGCCGCGCAGCGGCACGCGCTGAGAGCAATTGAGGGTTGCTGCGGGCCAGCCGAAGCCAGCTGCGGACACGACGTTGCGGCGCAGGGGGAAGGGGGAAGGAACGGAAAAGGCACCAGAGAGCGCTTACCGCTGAGAGCACAGTCCAGGTGATCAGGGGCCACCGGCAAGCGGCCAAGAGAGGGGGTGATCAGAAATTGGGCACCAGGGCGGCAAAAAACCGAACCATATTGTGGAGAGGAGGACATGATGCTTGCGAATGTCACCAACTTCAGGTCCAGGTAGGCCCACCCCCAAGCGGCCGAAACACTCGCTGCGTGCGAGAGACCCGGAACGTGTAACGCGCAGCCGTTATTTGCCCCAGGCCCAGGTACGCCCAGTCGCAATTCGCCGCGCCTTATGACGTGGGAAAGTCCAGGACCAGGGGGGCCAAGTCCAGGTAGGCCGACTCGCAGCAATTAGCCGCACCTTATAAAGTGGGAGAGTCCAGGACCAGGGGAAACAAGCCCGAGCGCAAGTGGTTGCGCGACAGGACGATGGGCAAGCAACGACAAACGTGAACCAGGTCTACGGAGGAGCGAGCCCGAAGCCAGGCGGCCCAAGCGTCACCCAGACATCGGGGTACATTGGTCGTGCTTTCCACACTGTCAATCTCCGCGCTCATTCAGTTCCAGGTTGGCGCGGGTCCTCAGACGTCTGTGGGCAGAAGACC